GTGACATCAAGTGAAGAGGAACTGTTAATGACTTATGGAGAGGCTAATAAAATAATGCAAAGTGCAAATATGCCTCTGAGGGAATGGAATAGTAATTCATCCAAATTAAAGGACAAAATAAGTAAAGATTACCCTGGAGATGAAGTACCAAAATGTAGTAATGTATTGGGATTAACTTGGGACACTGAGAAAGATTTGTTAATGTTAAAGCCTAATAATTACAGTATGTCCAATAAATTAACTAAGAGAGTCTTGCTTGCTGAAGTTTCCAAATGTTTTGATCCACTAGGCTTAGTATCATCCCTTACTATAAGAGGGAAATTATTAATACAAGAAGCATGTAAGCTTAAATGTGCTTGGGATGACACTCTGCCTGAGGAGTTCATTAATAGGTGGGATGAATTAATTGGTGATTATGAGAAAATTCCAATGTTGGAGTTCCCACGCCAGGTTGCCAATCCAGATGGGAAATATATACTCCACATTTTTTGTGATGCTTCAAAATTGGCATATGGAGCAGCTGCTTACCTTCAATGTAATAGTGTTATTTCTCTTGTTATGTCTAAGGCTAAAGTGTCTCCAATTAAATCATGTACCTTACCTCAGTTGGAATTTACAACCATTTATGTAGGTGTCAAATTAGCTAATTATATAAGAAATAAGTTGCAGGAGATAAATATTAGCGACACTGTAATTTGCTCGGATTCGTAATGGAAACAGTAAAATTGTGTACGTACAAAACAGAGTCGCTAAAATTAATCAGATGCAAGGGAAGCATAATAGTTTGGGTCAGCATATGTTAACATTTTATCATATACCTGGTGAGGAGAATCCAGCTGATTTCTTGTCACTAGGTTTACCTTATGCTAAATTTGTAAAAGCTGTATCATGGTTTGAAGGACCGAGCTGGTTGGCCTGTACAAAAGGCGTATATTGCTCCTGTTGAAATTACTGTGACCACCACTCCAATAGTTTGTCTTTCCTTAGCCATTGATATAAATAGATATTCTTCTTTACCCAAACTAATCAATGTAACTAAGTTGGTGTTTAAATTTCTAAACAAGATGAATATCTCATATAAGTTTTCACATCCTCTTGAATATTGGATAAAGAGGGTACAAGAAGAAATCTATGGAAATGAGATTAATTTGATGATGGAAAGAAAAATTGTGAAAGGTTCTGTAACAGAGAAATTGGGGCTGTATTTAAAGAACAATGTAATTAGGTGCAGAGGTAGGTTACAAAATGCTGAATTGGGTGATTATGCTAAACACCCTATCTTACTGCCCAAAACTCATCATCTAACAAATTTAATTGTTTTAAATGCCCATAAAAATGTAATGCATGGTGGAGTACAAGATACCTTAAATTGTATTAGGGAAACTTTCTGGATTCCACAAGTGCGAAAAGTGTGATTAAATCTTGTGTAATATGTCGCCGGGTGGATGCCAGATCCTATATGTACCCAGGTCCTCCACCATTGCCAAAGGAGCGTGTACAATTAGTGATAATCATTTGATGTAACAGGTGTAGACTATAGTGGTCCAATCATTTTAACAGGTACTTCAGATGGTGTTCCACTGAAAGTGTATGTGTGTTTGTTCCCTTGTACTGCTACCAGGGCAGTTCATTCAGAAGTGGTTCAGGACTTGTCTGCAGAACAGTTTATACAGCTGTTTCGAAAATTTGCAGCTGAGAGATCCTGTCAGAGATTGATTATGGATAATGTCACTAATTTTGTAGCGGGTGCTCAAAACTTGATAGAATTAAATAAGAGTAACAATGTTCAATCTCTCTTAACCCAACGAGGGTGTACCTGGAAATTTATTACTCCTAGAGCCCCTTGGCAGGGGGGGCTGTACGAAAGACTGATAGGCACAGTGAAGAGGGTCTCCGTAAAGTACTATACTGGAAGAGAATTAATTTGGAGGAATTTTGTGCGGTGTTGGTGGAGGCGGAGAATCGTATAAATAATAGGCCTCTCTCGTACATGAGTGATACACCTGATGCAGATGTATTAACACCTTCTCACCTAATATGTGGAAGGAAATTGGAAGCTGCCCCTGTCTATAGAAATAATCCTGAAGAAAGTAATGAAGATTACAATGATGTGGCAGTGTTGTGTGATAAATTTAAAATGTTAAATAAAGTAACTGATCATTAGTCTAATGTGTGGCGTAAGGAATATCTTCTTACACTAAGTGAACACTTTTATGGTGCGACAGAGACAGTAAATCGACAGAACATTCAACCAGGTGACATTGTGTTAGTTGATACTGAACAACATCAAACATTGTGGCCTCTGGGCAAAGTATTGACATTGTACCCAGATGCACAAGGTGTTGTCCGGAATGTCAAAGTGTTGTCTCATGGCCAGGAAAGTTTACACACAATAAATTGATTCCCTTGGTATTAAATGGTATTCAATCAAATGTAAAGGAAATCTAAGGGAAAGTGACACGAGTGATATTGAAGGTAATGCTGACCAAGTGATGCAGGAAGATGAGATTTTAGTAAGACCTACTAGGAGAACAGCCACTCAAGCCAGAATTGGCTGGAATTGTCTCCTAAAGGAAGGAGTAATTTGAGTCATTTAGCAATGAACTCTGCCCGGCTGCAGTGTAGAAAATACTGTATATTTTCCAAAAATACAGTGTATTTTGTATGTAAATTGATGGAATATATTGTAGGTAATAAAAATTAATTTGTAAATAAATAAAAAACCAGCGATGGGTGAGTGTCACTGGGGAAGAGAGACGCCATTGTTTTGAATGTGGTACAGGCATGTTAGTGAAATTTGCATGAATTTTTGTTGCTCCAGAGGTTATATTGGGCTTAAAACCTCTCAAATAGGAGCCGAAATTGTTGGAATTACAGTCCTGCATAACTTGAGCATTAAGCAGATGGACAGGACAGCTTTGGAACCCCAGCTAAGTCATGTCTATTTTGTGTTGAAATTCTGGCCAGTATTTTCTTCATAAATTTAGGCAGGGGGGTTTGTATGACACACCGTAATCTCCAGACTATTTGATGAGTCTTATTATTATAAATTTAATATACAGTCCACATATTTATATTAATGTTTTTACCAGAATTCCTGGTGATGTATATTTCATTTGAAATTAATATAGGTCCAGAGTGACTTGTGGAGAGATAGATTATCGTAGATATTGAAAGGGAACATTTTTGCGACCTAGGTGCCCTAAAATTCCTACTTGTCTCTGTAACCTTGATAAAGAATAATTATCTTTGTTACCATTTACTAGTATGTATCTTATGAGTTACATCCAGGTAAATTTAATTTTCCACAACACTTACTATAATTTTGCCCGTTTTTATTATGCTTTTATCTTATATATCTTATGTCTGATATCATTATTGAATAAATAGAATAAGATGATAAAGTGTATTAGTAACAATAGTGTCAGTATAAAGATATTTGTTGGTGAGTCCCAAACTGCTCTCCAGCTATTCACATCCTTGGCTGCTTCTTGGATCCTCCCACCTCTGCAATAACCCTCTCCTACACTGTAAATGATGTTGAGTGATACATTTAGTGTATTAGGAAGAAAAATAGACAAAAAATTATGAAGAAAAGAAATAATCTCGCGCAGGCACGATTTTTTTTTATGTTGCGCGTCGTAAAATATGTTTCAAATAGCTATAATTTGCTTTAGAAACGTCGTATTACAATGGAATTTTCACCATAATGTTGCCAGATTCTTAAACTATTTTTCTGTAAATAAAACTCATTTTCATATTTTCCGAATTATTTTCCTATCCATGCGCAGCGTAGGGTCAACTTGTCCCTTATTCAACTTGGTTGAAGAGTTTGGGATCGTCATTTGTTGGTGCTTTATAGTCTACTTCCAGCTCTTTAGTATCACTGGTATCAGACTCTGATAAAATTTGCCATGTCACAGGTGGCACAGGTACAGGAATATCTTCAGATTGTGGAACAGACCTTATTGCTGAAGAAATATTTGGATACATAATGCGATCTTTAGTCTTCTTTTTGAATAAGCTACTTTAGTCATACAAAAGTAGCAGTCATCATGGTGGTTCATCTGCTCCATCCATACCATTAGCACTCCGAAGGGCATACATTTAAGTTTTCTTACTGACCACATTTGGAGCTTACTGATGCAACTCTTGCAAGCTTTGTGTAGTGAAAATGGTTTGTCCTGGTCTCCAAGTTTGCAGCCAAAACAAGCAAAGTAGCAGCGCTTCAATAAAGGAGTAATGTTGCTCCGGGAATCTGAAAGGGTGAATTGCCTGCAAACATAGCAAAATATGTTTGGTGAATTTAATGCAGCATCTCGACATATTAATAATCTGATACTAAAGAAAAATAGATTAAAGATTTAAGTCAGTATAAGGTAAGCATTTTAATTGGTAATATACCACTTTCTCATTTGCTTATGTTATATGAAAAGAGAAAAGTAACGTTTCCGTATAACTTGACAACCTGATGAGATAGAAATGAATAAAAAACACAATGAATCAATATTTTTCATATAAATACTGGAAAAGATACCATAGAGTCAATAAAATATAATAATGATGTTTGATTACCAGTGTAATTGAACATCATTATTCTTATTACAAAAGGCAAAATGAATCACATTCACACAATCCCTTAATTTACAAAATTGCAAATGAATAAACAAGACAACATATATTACCATATTACGTTAAATAACAAATTAACTTAACGTCAGCTGAACGCATTTGTACTTGACTTATTGCTCCCGCAGTATGCATTTCAATAGCAGTGCAATAAGATAAACATTCTTCGCACTAAAATTTCCTTGATATCATCATTCATCCGTTACTCCACGGATGAATGATGATATGTCAGTTGTGTATCAGAAATAGAACTAGGTATAATATGAGTCAGATTTCTATTAAGAGCTATTGTAGGCTCACTGCATTGCAAAAAAAAGTAAAAAGACAGTAGTTCTTTTCCTCAGTCTATGAAGACTAACAATGAAACTATTTCCTTTCCGTTCTTAGCAATGTATGTCAATAGGAACCTCATTAGTGCTCTAGAGGTCAACTTTACCACGACTGGCCCGGCTAGTTTACAGTTGAGTGAGGCAGTGGACGGGGCAGACGTGGTCGATGTGGCGAGGCGAGTGTACCAATACCACCTGGGGAAAGGACTCAACATGGATGAGGATCACAGTGAAGCCCTCACACAGGTACTCCGGCGCAAGAGTCAGATACAATACATTCAGTTCCTAGATCGTATGGGCTATAGTTTTCAGTCACGTAACTCTATCTGCTGTGTCCGCCATTCTTGTATGATGAAGCTATATAGTGAGTGACAAACATGGCACAAAGTAGAATTTTGGTCAGTGATCACAGAGGGCACCTGACAGAACAAGAATGTGCGGGATATACGCTGAAGGTAGAAATTCAAAGTACATGTGATCTGTACACAGTACCTAGGTTTTTTTCACTCTTGACACAGATAGTGAAGATTGGCGATGTGTTTATAACGGTTGTGAAAACCATTCACCATACACATGAGAGATGGCGAAGGGTTGTGAAAACCATTCACCATACACATGAGAGATGGCAAAGTTGTACAAGAGCATGAAGTGCTTTAAATATTGCCAAGCTTGCTGGGTGATTGATGCAATCGTATAGTATATCAAGACAAAAAAAATAATTACCCAGCATCGCTGCTGGGGTAAAGCTCCACTGAGGGTGAATTGTCGTATAATGAAGAATGCATGTTGCCAATCTTTTTCTTTTAGGGAGGCATCTAAAAATTTAGGTGGATGGGGCCAAAAAAAATTATTATTTTTAGTAGCGAAAGTGCCTTCCATATTCCTTGCCAAAGTGATAGTAAATCTAAGACACTTTTTTCGTTTGTAAGATATAAAGTACACGTGTTTTAAAAAAAACCTTAATGAAAACAGAATGTGAGAAACAATGTAACATTTCAGAGCATAAGCTTCCAGGTTTATTATTGCTATAACAGCGACAAAATATCCTGTATTGAAAGTGTTGTCGTTTCCTTCTCAAATTCTCATTTAAGCTTCTCGTGAGTTGTTTCTAGTAGTTCTTATCACAAAAGAATCCATCGTAGTTGAAATGAGGTTCAGAATATCAATATACAATATATAAATAATTGCATTTAAGATGAATGGATAACTGTGCAGGGGCAGGTACAGGAAAAAAAAATTGAGGAGGCTGTACCCCCCCCATAGCGCCTTCCTGTAGCTCCTGGCCTGTCATTATGTTCACTCTTCTCAATGTGTTTTTGAAATTTCAGTCCCATTTATTGGCTTACGCTGTTGTCTACCTAATACTATTGATACTTTATGGTTCTGTTCTAAATTAAAATTCATTCGTATTCAAACCCAAAAGCAAGAGGTACAAGCATGTACTTGATACCAAGTACTCAGACCCATGATCATGTGTGTGCACACATGTACTCGAACTCATGGATTATATGTTCTCACAAGTACTCGAATGCATGAACTTAAACCCAAGCGCGTTACAGTGTACACTCAAGTATTTAAGTATATTGCTGCGAGTTATGAGATAACTGGTGAGACGGTAGATAAAGCTTCTTAACACGATCAACAGGAAGAGCAAGTCACAAGTGGAACTGAATCCAGGTAGAGCTATTCTATCCTAACACAACTGGAATTTTTAAAAAATTTTCCAAAAAATAAGCAATGAACACAGGACACAACGAGAATGATTTTTTTTTTGTTTGTAACTAAAAATAAGTAATATCATGGAAATTTTGTCTCTCCGACAGCTGTTCAGCAATGTGCATTTCATGGTGGATCATGACCTTGTGACGAAGAACCACATCCATCACGCCAGCCACCACAACACTTACCGCTATGAGTTCCGCTACAGAGGTGAATTCTCCCTCAGCGACGACTTGGATTCCCACGTCGGTAAACACTGTAAGTACTGTTATATAATAATAATAATAATAATGTTCGCTTGTTAACGAGTGCTCTAAAGGGTTGGTAAAGATGACTATCAAGTGTCATAAATTATTATTAACACCCAACAGCCATATGTTGTCTCCCTGGATTTTGCATTTTGCGTTTGTTCTGAGAACTTCAGTCTTAGAAATTTGCCATCACTGAACACAGAGTTATTGTACTTTATTCAAAGACGATTGTACTGATATCTATTTGTAATTTTTCTGTCTTCTGAGGCAAATTTTATGCTCATATTATCATTATTAACAAAGGATGTTACGAAGCTTCAGGTTAGTGTTGTTTCCTGTCTTTTATAAATATATAAAGCAATAGTCAGACCTGACCATGGGTAAGGAACATTGTTATTTACTAAGACAGTTCTATTTTTATTGCTTAATGAATCTATTTCAGTCTACTTTTTATTGACCTCTATATGGAGTTACTATTATGTCGATTTACAATTCCTTTACAAAATATTTATGGACCCACTCAGTGATTTTTCTCATAATGATTGAAAGTTTGAAAGTAATTATCATCCTGCTCTACATAAATGGTGATTTGGCTTGTTTAAACTTTTCTATAAATCAATAACTTGGCGTCTCGGCACCATTTCAAAGACTTTTATAATATGGGTTATTTAAATTTTACCTATTACTCCGAGTTCTTATGTGGCGTTTACCAAGTATACTACAATTTATTTAGTAAATATGTAAATGGTAAACAATACCGACAAGTTGAAAAGCAAAACACATATGCAACAGTGTATTCCGGAACGTTTCGCCTGCACAATAAGCTTCTTTAGTCGAATACAGAAGAGTTAGCAGAACCAGTAGAGGTGAAGATGATGTAATCAGTTGATTCACCCTTGAAGACTTACTTTTGAGGTGGTCAGTCCCTCAGCCTGAAGAAAAATATTGCTTCATAGCCTGGAACAGTGTGAAGTTTAAGTATGTATATATAATGTGTGATGTGATAAATGATTTAAAAAAAAACCGACAAATTGAAGATTGAGACACTTATGCAACATATGGGAATCTTTATTGAGGAAACTTTGCGCCACACAATGGCTTCATCAGTCCAGTACAAAGCAAAGAGATGAAAGGAGAGGAGGAGTTTGAGGTAATCAGTCCTTCAGCTTGGAGTCGATGTGTTCAGTCCACCAATCTTGTAGAATGTAGAGCATAGGGCCGTAGACATGACTTATATACAGTAGTCAGGTGAGGTGAAGCAGGAGGCGGGGTCAGTGGTACCATCCACTAGCCGAAGTAGATCTTCGTCCAGAGATTGGACAAGTGATGAAGAATTCTTCGTATCAAGATCCCATGATGATGCAGTGTCAGGCAGATGTGATAAATGGTTAAAAAAAAAATGTTCGCCAAGACCGGGTTCCTGGTCTTAAGGGATGGCTAGATTACTGGTGTACATGTGAAATGCAATAATGACACGTGGTCGATAATCTTTAAACTGGTTAAATCACTCAGTCTGGTGATAATGTTTCATTCCGGTTTACCAGTATCCTGATCTTCACCTACAATATTAAGTGTCTTCTCTCTTATATATCAGACGTTGTCTTTTTCACCATTAAATAACAGATGAAAATTCCAGTTTATGTAATGGTTAACCATCCAAGATAAATAGCTGACATTCTTGCTTATAGAATACAAGAATATCCCACTTTAAGTAACGGATCCCACATAAAGTAATGGGTGATCATCGTACTTTCCACCTGTGTTAATAGAGGACCATATCAGTTAAATAAATGACTATCGCATTTCAGGTATTATGCAACCATTTATCTTAAGTAACCTATGTCCATTTCTTCAAAAGTAACAGAGGTTAGGTTAGGTAAAATTTGTCAGGAAACAGGACAAATGTTTCCTGACTCGGGTCTTAGTCATATGATGACCCGCAGCTAGAGTTTTTGGTCATCTGACCGAGGCCTTCCGCTGGCTTACCGGTTCACCCCTTTAAAAATGATGGTCATAATTATAAAGTAACAGAGATACACATCACTTAAAATAACGTATGTCCATCCTTTCTTAAGTCACATATGACCATCCTACTTAAAGTAACAGATAACACACCCACTAACAAAAAAATTAAAAATTTTGTTTAAAGAAACATTAGATCACTTATGGTAGCCTAAAGCAACGGCTTTCGTCTCCCACCAACAGGGGTGCCGCATGCAGATGATTTGCTCTACTTGTTCCAAGCGGGAGAGCTTCTCGGTCCTTCAAAGCAAATCCAGCAGCTCAACACACCAGAGGACCTAAGAATGAGAGATATTATGTCCACACTCTGGACCAACTTCGCCGCCACAGGGTAATGAGGCGGGTTCTCGTAAAGAGGAGAAAGGAAGAATGATGAGTTATTTCTGAGGCAAAGCTAGGTTGGACAGTGACCGGTAATAACGATTTGTGATGTATGAGGGAGTGAAGAAAAAGTGGGGCCCCGGAGCTCGGTTGGTAGCGCACTCACGTTACACACAGGTCCGTGGTTCGATCGCCGATATCGATGGAAAAACTGAGGGAGTGTTTACTTAAGGCACCTGCTGTCCCTGTTCATCTAACAGTAAATAGGTTCCTGGGTGTTAGCCAACTGGTGTGGGTAGCACCTGGAGGACAAAATTAACCTACTTTACCCAAAATGCTATGCATAATCAGGGGCTTATATAAAATGTAATGATGTCAGACAGGTCTGCGTAAATTGAATCATGTACTAGCAGAAATAAATATTATTATTATTATTATTATTATTATTATTATTATTATTATTATTATTATTATTATTATTATTATTATTATTACAGAATGCAAGACAGGAAAATAAAGTTTGCGTGATGAGTATTGATGTATGTAACACCAAAGTAACTATAATTCCCTAGTACTGTACAGTCTTACTTGAAAATATATGTTGCAGACTTTCATCACATTGGACATGATATTTTTTTTTGTAAATACATGTATATTAATTATTTTGCTGATGACACTGGCTCTTGGGAGATTCTGAAGAGAAGTTGCGGAGATTGGTGGATGAATTTGGTAGGGTGTGCAAAAGAAGAAAATTGAAAGTGAATACAGGAAAGAGTAAGGTTATGAGGATAACAAAAAGATTAGGTGATGAAAGATTGGATATCAGATTGGAGGGAGAGAGTATGGAGGAGGTGAATGTATTCAGATATTTGGGAGTGGACGTGTCAGCGGATGAGTCTATGAAAGATGAGGTGAATCATTGAATTGATGAGGGGAAAAGGGTGAGTGGTGCACTTAGGAGTCTGTGTAGACAAAGAACTTTGTCCTTGGAGGCAAAGAGGGGAATGTATTAGAGTTTAGTTTTACCAACACTCTTATATGGATGTGAGGCATGGGTGATGAATGTTGCAGCGAGGAGAAGGCTGGAGGCAGTGGAGATGTCATGTGTGAGGGCAATGTGTGGTGTGAATATAATGCAGAGAATTCGTAGTTTGGAAGTTAGGAGGAGGTGCGGGATTACCAAAACTGTTGTCCAGAGGGCTGAGGAAGGGTTGTTGAGGTGGTTCGGACATGTAGAGAAAATGGAGCGAAACAGAATGACTTCAAGAGTGTATCAGTCTGTAGTGGAAGGAAGGCGGGGTAGGGGTCGGCCTAGGAAAGGTTGGAGGGAGGGGGTAAAGGAGGTTTTGTGTGCGACGGGCTTGGACTTCCAGCAGGCATGCGTGAGCGTGTTTGATAGGAGTGAATGGAGACAAATGGTTTTTAATACTTGACGTGCTGTTGGAGTGTGAGCAAAGTAACATTTATGAAGGGGTTCTTGGAAACCGGCAGGCCGGATTTGAGTCCTGGAGATGGGAAGTACAGTGCCTGCACTCCGAAGGAGGGGTGTTAATGTTGCAGTTTAAAAACTGTAGTGTAAAGCACCCTTCTGGCAAGACAGTGATGGAGTGAATGATGGTGAAAGTTTTTCTTTTTCGGGCCACCCTGCCTTGGTGGGAATCGGCCAGTGTGATAATAAAAAAAATAATTATTTTGTCTTATTAGTAAGGCATCAGTTGCTAATTTCTCAAATGGGTATTTCCTGCAGGAATCCAACTCCTGACGATTCTCTTGGGTTCACATGGGAGCCCTCCACTGAAAACAGCTTCCAGTACCTCGCACTCAACCTCAAACCTACCATAGAGGCCGACCAGAGGCAAGAGGTCAGTCCTGCATAGCTTCCTTGCAAGCAGATTATGGATATCTTTATAAATTTACAAACTGGATGTCTTTCAGTCACTACACGATCTGAGAAAGTCATCCCCGTATACCATAATCTACATTTGGAGGTTCCTCAATATAAACAACTGGAATAGTTTTGAAGATTTCAAGGGAATCAGAAGAGGCATTCAAGAATTATATGGGAACTAATATTCAAATTTCTCAATAAAAATGGCAAATTAAGACACACAGCTCAGCTCTAATTCAAACTTTTTAAAGTTGTATTATTAAGTAATCAGCATGTGAGTGTTGAAGCTAATCTGATACAACACTTAGAAATTATCGCATAAAAAACAGTATTTCATTATTTTTCCTAATTTCTTAAAAAAAAAAATGGGACCCACACAGACCAAAATCATTCAAAACTTTTCTCTAAATAAGACTCACAAGATTAAACAAACTAAAAGAAGGAAGTTTTATGTAAGCTTTATAAAATACTTAATATATAATTTTTTAACAACGTTCTTGAGATCACAGATTTTGTAGGCACATTAATTGTCAAAGTGATTTTACCAAGGACACCCAAATATAGTCAAGCACTGTGTCTTATTTCTGAGCAGAAGAGACATTCTCTAATTTTTTCACAGAAACCAACTTGATTAATAAAGTTGACACATAATAACTAACACAACCAAACATAAAGAGATTGTCACCCTTGAGGAAAACACATCAGCACTTATTAAGTGCTGATGTCATCGTACAGAATGCAACAAATTTTTACCAACACAGCCTAAACCCACGAAATGCTCCATCCATTTCATGCCGTGAATCAGCAAACAGCATTCGTCTTTAATGCTGTTTGTATTTGCTATATTTTAATCAGAGGAAAGCAATAAACGCGTAGGGGTTATATAAAGCCTCATGATTGGATGGCATTCAAATTCAATCCCTATACGGGGAAGATAACTTCAATTTCTTGTATCAGGAGCCTCTTACCAGCATCAAGGCAAAATAATGCAATAACGTACAGTAATATATTATTTGGAGACTGAAAGTGTCAAAATATCATCTACACACTCCATTAAATATACAAATTTCATACTAAAAAGGATACACCAGCATCAAAATTTTGAAGCTGATCAGAGGAGTCTATCTCTGCCTATCATATGGAAAGAAAATTTTTGCATAGAGCACCAACACATGCAAATAGTCCATTGAATCTTGTCCAAGATATATTACACAACGATACAAATTTGAAGCCGATCGAATAAGGTATTCTCGAGTAATAAACAAGTACTTGCATGAATGTTCCGAAAAATGGGAGAGTCTCCCCACGAGAAAATTAAAAACATAATAGAGCAGTAAATTTTTATTTCTTCCTCAGATTACTTTCGTCAGATAAAATCAATTTAAAATTCCTTGCATTCCTGTTAAAAAAAAACACTTGCTATTGATTAAAAAAAAATAATTTTGATGAAATTTCCACATACACAGGCCAACTTTTATTGAAAGATGCTCTCTATTATTATCCACCAGCATTTAGGGTTTGAAGCTGATGAGAAAAGGTATTAACTAGTTATTTTACAGATAATAATATACTTAATATAACTGGCAAACTTAAATTTGCACAGCTCAGAGTGACAAGACATGTTTAATATAATCAAGTAATGGGAAAAGTTTCAAGCCGATCATGAAAATTTTTTCCAATAATTGGCCTTATTCCGACAGTTAGTTAGTTAGTTAAAGATTAGCCGGTATTCTCCCGGCCCGGGCCTTGTCCAAGTGGTGGCCCGGCCTTGGCTCCCTCTTTAGGGAGTGTCTGAGACCTAAGTCTCCCATGGGAGGAGGCACAAGTACCTCCTCATCTTTGGGACCAACTGTCCCCAGGCCTAGCCACAAGCTAGACCTCTCTGCTCTGCCATCCCCGCCCCAAGGGGACTAATAGGAATGACAGTCTTATGAGCTAAAGGCTCGGGCTCAGGCACCTACCCTACCCTAGAAGGGTTAGGCATGGTGTCGATCTCCGACAGTTCCAAGTTTTTAAACTTTCTCAATAAAATTTTAAATTTTCACCTATTTGTGCTGAACTTATGGAGTATTTTATTGAAGAATACTTCGTCATTAATATTATGAATCCAATCAGAAGTATTGTTTATCAAATGAATAAAATAAAAATAATATCACTATATGTTCGACAAACTTGGCAAATTGGGACTTATGCCGCACAATGGTATCGCGAGGCTTGTGTTCAGGTACCACAGTAATGTTAATTTGAACTTGATCAGATGAGTGATTCTCATCACACACACACACACACGACACTGGAAGACTGCAGAGATAGGGGGGACATGATAACGACATATAAAATACTGAGAGGAAATGACAAGGTGGACAGAGACAGAATGTTCCAGAGATGGGGCACAGCAACAAGGGAACACCGTTGGAAGTTGAAGACACAGATGGATCACAGGGATGTTAGGAGGTATTTCTTCAGTCACAGAGTTGTCACGAAGAGGAATAGCCAGGGTAGTGTTGTAGTGGAGGCAGGATCCATACATAGCTTTAAGAAGAGGTATGATAAAGCTCATTGAGCGGGAAGAGTGGCCGGGTAGAGGCCAGTTGAAGAGGCGGGGCCAGGAGCTGTGAATCGGCCCACGCAACCACTAGGTGAGTACAACTAGGTGAGTACGCACACACACACACACACACACGCACATACACACGCACACACGCGCGCGCGCGTCCGTGGGCAACAATCGAGGAGTGACTGAAGATATACATGACTAAATAGGAGGACTGGAGCACTAGAGGTTACATAAAAATGTTTATAATTCTTAGGGCAGATTTGTTTGTTAGAACAAGAGTGTGAGAATCTTTAAAAGAATGAGTTATTAATTATGAGAGAGTCAGCTGCTGGGGACGGAGGCACATCACCACACTGGCAAAATACACACATTTCTAAGAATATAGGAATTTTATTCATATAATTCTAATCCTTGTTTATTTCCACAGGTGAGGAAGTTCTTCGCATCTCTCCCCGTGAGGATGTACCGTATCCTGCATCCTGACGGGATCCCTCAGGATGACATCCTTCAACATGAGGATTCGAGAAGTGCACTACAAGATGAACTCTAGGACAGAAGGATACGCTATATACGTTTCCAAGAGTTGAGGGAGTGTGTACAGGAATTTCTAGATGCTTTACGACATCGAGATTTTAAAAAAACTTTGGAGCAAAAATTAAGGATCACCAACGGGCCCAAAATTTTTGTGATACAAAATAACTGGTGCTTGTTGCACACTACCCCCTTTCCCCACACCCTAACACCACTACCCCTTTCCTCCACCCAAAACACCACTATCCCCTTTCCCCATACCCTAAACCACTCCCCCCTTTCCCCATCCCTAACACCACAACCCCCTTCCCCCACCCAAACACCACTACCCCTTTCCCCCACTACCCAAACACCATACCCCTTCGCCACTACCCAAACCCACTCCCCCTTTCCCCACTACCCAAACAAAACTACACCATTCCCACACCCTAACACACTCCCCCCTTTCCCCCAAAACCCCCCAACACCTTCCCCCCTTCCCCCACAACCCTAACCCATTCCCCCCCTTCCCCACTACCCAACACCACTACCCCCCCCCCACTACCCTCCCCATACCCCCTACCCCACACCCTAACCCACTACCCCCTTTCCCCCACTCCCTAACACCACTACCCCCTTCGCCACTACTCTAAAACCACTACCCCCTTCGCCATACCCTAACACCATCCCCCCTTCCACCCCCAACCCAAAAACCCCCAACCCCCCTCCCCCAAACCCACTACCCCCCCCCCCCCAAAAACCCCCTAACCCACACCCCCAACCCCACACCCTAACACCACTCCCCCCTTCCCCAACCCTAACACCACTCCCCTTCGCCATACCCTAACCCCACACCCCCAAACCCCCACTACCCAAAACCCCACTACCCCCTTCCCACACCCTAAAACCAAACCCCCCACCCCACTACCCTAACACACGCCCCTTCCCACTACCCTAACACCATACCCCTTCGCACTACCCTAAACCACTACCCTTTCCCCATACCCAAACCCCACACCCCCTTTCCCCCACAACCAAACCACTCCCCCCTTCCCCAAACCCCCAAACCCTTTCCCCCCTTCCCCATCCCCTCACCACTACCCCCATCCCCACACCCAAAACGCACTCCCCCCCCCTTCCCCACTACACTAACCCACTACCCAAACACCACTCCCCCCTTCACCACTACCTAACCCACTTTTTCCCTTTCCCCCAAAACCCCTAACACCATTCCCCCCTTCCCCACTACCCTAACACCACTACCCCCCCCCCCACAACCCAACAGCACTACCCCCTTCCCCACTCACTAACACCAACCCGCTTCCCCACTACCCAACACCACTACCCCCCCCACACTACCCAACACCACACCCCCTTCCACAAAACCCCCCTAACACCACTACCCCCGTCCCCATACCCAAAACACCACACCCCCTTTCCCCACTACCCTAACCACTCCCCCCTTCCTCACTCCCCTAACACCATCCCCCTTCACCATCCTAAATCACAAACCCCCTTCACCACCCCCCCCTTCCCCACTACCCTAACACCACACCCCCGTTCCACATACCCTAACACCACTACCCCTTCCCCCCACTCCAAACCACTACCCCCTTCCCCCACAACCCTAACAACCCACCCCCCTTTCCCCACTACCTTAACACCCTCCCCCTTCCCCACTACCCTAACCCACTACCCCCTTTCACCACTCCCCTAACACCAGTCCCCCCCTTCCCCCACTACCCTAACACCCTACCCCCTTTCCCCCACTACCCAAACACCACTACCCCCTTTTCCCCACTAACCAACCCCACTCCCCCCTTCACCACTCCCCCTAACCCACTACCCCCTCCCCACTACCCAAACCACCCCCCCTTCCCCACTACCCAAACACCACTCCCCCTTCAAACCACTACCCTACACCACTACCCCTTAAACTACACCCTAACCCATTTCCCCCCCTTTCCCCACTACCCTAACACCACTACCCCCTTTCCCCCAAAACCCAACACCATATCCCCTTCCCCACTCCCCCAACCCACTATCCCTACCCCACTACCCAAACACCACTGCCCCCCTTCCCATCCCCTAACACCACTACATCGTCCCCCACTACCCTAACCCCCACGGGCCCCCTTCCCCCACACCTAACACCCTACATCCCTTCCCCACTACCCTAACACCACTACCCCCCCTTCACCACTCCCCAACACCACTACCCCCTTCCCCCTACCCTAACACCCTATTTTCCTTCCCCACTACCCTAACCCCAATCCCTTCCCCACTCCCTAACACCACATCTCCTACCCCACTACCCAAAAAACCCCTACCCCCTTCCCCACTACCCTAACACCACTACCCCCCTTCCCCACTACCCTAAACCACTACCCCCTTCCCCCACTACCCTCAACACAATTCCTCCTACCCCACTACCCAACACCACTGCCCCCCCCCCACTACCCTAAACCAACATCGTTCCCCACTCCCAAACCCCCTGCCCCCTTTCCCCCACACCCTAAACCCAACCCCCCCCTTCCCCCACTCCCCAAACACCACACATCCCTTCCCATACCTAACACCGTACATCCCCCCCCCAAAAACCCAACACCACTACATCCTTTCCCCACACCCTAAACCACTACATCCTTCCCCACACCAACACCACTCCCCCCCCTTTCCCCATACCCAAACAGCAATCCCCCTTCCCCATACCCTAACACCACCCCTTTCCTTCCCCCCTACCCCTAAACATGCCCCCTTCCCCACTACCCTAACACCATTACCCCTTCCCCACTACCCTAACACCACTACCTTCTTCCCACTACCCTAAACCACTACCCCCCCCCCACACCCCAAACCACTACCCCCTTCCCCTCCCCTAACACCACTGCCCCCTTCCCCACACCCTAACACCACTACCCCCTTCATCACTAACCCTAACACCACACCTCCTTCCCACACCCTAACCCAGCCCCCCCCCCTATGAAAACACCACTACTCCCTTCCCCATAACTAACACCATTTCCCCCTTCCCCAAAACCCAACACCACAAAACCCCCTTCCCCCAATACCCTAACCCACTCCCCCCTTTCCCACTACCCTAACGCACACCAAATTTCCACTACCCTAACACCATCCCCCTTCCCCCCTACCCTAACCCCCTACTCCCTCCCCACAAACTAACCCACACCACCTTCCCCACACCCTAAACGACTACCCCCTTCCCCCTCCCTAACACCACTCCCCCCTTCCCCCCAACCCCAAACACCAACCCCCCCTTCACTACCCTAACCCCAACACCCTTCCCCACCCCCAACACCACTACGCCCTTTCCCCCACTCCCCTAACTCCACACCCCCTTCCCCCACCCTAACACCACTCCCCCCCTTCACCACTCCCCCAAACACCACTACCCCCTTATCTACTACCTAACCCCAGTAATCCTTCCCCCTCCCAACCCCACCCCCCCCTTTTCCCCACCACCCAAACCCACCAACCCCCCCTTATCTACTACCCTAACCCCAGTACATCCTTCCCCCCCCCTAACACCACACCCCCCTTCCCCACCCCCCTAAACCCCACTACCCCCCTTATCTACTACCGTAACTCCACTACCCCCCTTCCCCATACCCAACACACACCCCCTTTCCCCCACTACCCAAAACCCCACTACCCCCTTCCCCACTACCCTAACCCCACTGCCCCCTTCCCCACTCCCTACCACCATACCCCCCTTCCCACACCCAAACCCCATACTCCCTTCCCCCTAAACTCACCACTTCCTTTTTCCCCCACACCCAAACACCACTACCCTTTCCCCAATACCCTAACACCATACCCTTTTCCCTCACAACCCTAACAGCATCCCAATTCCCCCACTACCCTAACATCACTGCCCCCCTTCCCCCAATCCCATAACACCACTACCCCTTCCCCATACCCTAACACCACAAACCCCCCCCCCCACTACCCAATCCACGCCCTTCCCCCAATCCCTAACACACTACCCCCTTCCCAAAAAACCAACACCACTCCCCCCTTTCCACTCCCCTAACACCACTACATCCCCCCCCATTTCCCCAAAAACACAGACTTTCTTCCCATACCCTAACACCAGTACACCCTTTACCCAATAAACTAACACCACAACGCCCTTCCCCATCCCCCAAACACCTACATCCTTCCCCACCCCCAAAAACCCCACTACACCTTCCCCACTACCCAACACCACTCCCCCCTTCCCCACCCCCAAACACCTGTAATCCTTCCCCACACCCTAACCCCCACTGCATTTTCCCCCGTTTTAAAAACCCTAACACCACTACCCCTTCCCCACTACCAAACATCACTAACCTTCCCCACACCCTAACACCACTACAACTCCCCACTACCCAACACCACTACCCCTTCCCCCCTACCCAACACCATACACCCTTCTCCACACCCTAACACCATGCTTCCCTCCCCACTCCCCTAACACACTACCCCTTCCCCCCTACCCAGCCCACTCACCCCCCCCCTCGCTTCCCTAATACCACTACTCCTTCTCCACTACACTACACCATACGTCCTTCTCGACTACGAAACATCACTACATCCTTCCCACTACCCTAAAACCACTACTTTCCCTCCCCCTACCCTAACACCACTACAACCCCATCCCTACCAACTACATCCCTCCCAAACTACCCAAACCCCCATACTACCCCCCACTCCCCTAACACCACAACATCCCTCCCATACCCAAAAAAATACAATTCCCTCACTACCTTAACAAAAACATCCTTTCCCCACTACCAAACACCACTAAACCCCTCCCAATACCCTAAAACCATACATCCTTCTCCACGACATTAACCCACAACATCCTTACCCACCCCCCTAACACCTCTACATCCTTCCCCACACCCAAACACCACTACTTCCCTCCCCACACCCTAACACCACTACACCTTCCCCACCCAACCCCCTACACCCCCCCCACTATCCAACCTACTACACACTTCCCAAACTCAAACCCCCCACTACACACTTCTCCATCCCCTAACTCCACTACATTCTTCCCCACACCCTAACACCACTACACACTTATGCACTACCCAACCCACTACCACTTCCCCCACAATCAGAACACCACTACACCCTTCCCCACTACCCAACACCACCACCCCCCTCTCACTACCAGTTTACCCCAATAAACCCTTCCCCCCACTACCCTAACACCATAAAAACCCTTTCCCCAATCCCAGAAAACACCGTTTACACTCTTTCCCCTACCTAACATAAAGCCTACTCCCACACCATAACATCAAGTCCTTTCCCACTACCAGAACATCAAATCCTACTCCCCCTCCATCACAAGTCCTTTTCCCAATACCAGAAACATCAAGTCCTTTTCCCCACCCCCCGAAAACTCAATCCATTCCCAAAAAAAAATGAATCAAGCCCTACTCCCCTTCCAATAACATCAAGTCCTACTCCCACTCCCAAAACATCAAGTCCTTTTCCACTACCATAACTCAAATCCTTTTCCCACTACCAAAAACATCAAGTCCTATTACCACTACCAGTAGCACAAGTCCTTTTGCCTCTAAAATTTGACTTCAAGTCCACCCCCACTTCCAAAACATCGAGCCCAACTCCCACTACAATAACATCAAGCCTACTCCCACTACCAGTAACATCAAGTCCTATTCCCGCCCCAGTAAATCAAGCCCTTTTTGCCACAAAAAGTGACTAAAGTCCTTTCCATTCCCAATAACATAAAGTTCTACCCCCACACCAGTTCAAAAAATCCATTCCCTACCAAACCAAGTCCTTTTTCCCCACTCCAGAACATAAAGTCCTACCCCCCACACAAGTAACATCAGCCCCATTCCCCTACCAAAAAATCAAGCCTTTTTCCCCCTTTCCAGTAACATAAGTCCTACCAAAACTCCCTTTTAAACTCAAGCCCCTACTACCACTACCATAACACAAGTCCTACTCCCACAACCAGTAACATCAAGCCCTACTCCACTCCCAGTAAACATCAAGTCCATTCGCTCTAGCAGTAACATAAAGCCCGTTCCCCATACCATAACATAAATCCTATTCCCACTCCAGTAACATCATCCTTTTTTCCCATACCGTAACATCAAACCCTACTACCACAAAACCAAAAAATATAAAGCCCTACTCCCATACACTCCAGTAACTAAAGTCCTATTCCCTTAAAAGAAACATAAAGCCCTTTGCCACTAAAAGTGACATCAATCCTTCTCCACCCCCATAACACAAGTCCTTTCCCCCACACCTATATGAAATCCTTTTCCCCACTACCAGTAACATCAAGTCCTACTCCCACTACCAGTAACATCAAGTCCTACTACCACTACCAGTAACATCAAGTCCTACTCCCACTACCAGTAACATCAAGTCCTACTCCACTACCAGTAACATCAAGTCCTATTCGCTCTAGCAGTAACATCAAGTCCTGTTCCCACTACCAGTAACATCAAGTCCTATTCCCACTACCAGTAACATCAAGTCCTATTCCCACTACCAGTAACATCAAATCCTACTACCACTACCAGTAATATCAAGTCCTACTCCCTATACACTACCAGTAACATCAAGTCCTATTCCCATTAAAAGAAACATCAAGTCCTTTTGCCACTAAAAGTGACATCAAGTCCTTCTCCTACTTCCAATAACATCAAGTCCTATTCCCACTACCAGTAACATCAAGTCCTATTCCCACTACCAGTAACATCAAGTCCTACTCCCACTACCAGTAACATCAAGTCCTACTCCCACTACACTACCAGTAACATCAAGTCCTATTCCCATTAAAAGTATCATCAAGTCCTATTCCCACTACCAGTAACATCATGTCCTACTCCCACTGCCAGTAACATCAAGTCCTACTCACACTACCAGAAATCCCCCCCCCTACCATAACATCAAGTCCTTTTCCCCAACAACCATAACACCAAGCCCAAATTTCCCACTAACCAGTAACATCAAGCCCTTTTCCCACTGCCACTAACTTCAAGTCCTTTTTCCCACAAACCAGTAACATAAAGTCCTTTCCCACTACCAGTAACATCAAGTCCTTTTCCCCACTACCATAACATCAAGTCCTTCTCCCCTACCATTTAACCCTCAATTTCCCCTTTTCCCACAAACCATAACATCAAGTCCTCCCTCCCACAAACCATAAACATCAAGTCCAACTCCCACTACCATAAAAAACAAAACCGACTGGTTATAAATCCAAAATTTTTTAAAGGGGGGACCGTTAAGCCAGGGGAAGGGCCCCCTCGGTCAGTTTGACCAAAAGCCCCAAAAGGCGGGTAAACATCTAAACAAAGACCCGCGTCGGGAAACCCTTTTTGTCCTTTTCCCTGAGAACCTTACCCTAACCTAACCTAAGTAAAAATCAAGTCCAATTCCCACTTTCATTAACATAAAATTCAAACCCACTACCTTAAACCATCAGTCCTACAACACACCAGTAACATCAACCCCTACTCTCACTATCAGCAAAAACAAGTCCTACTCCCACAATCAGCAACTTTCAATCCTATTTCCCATGCCATAACATCAAGTCATTTTCCCCACTACCAGAAAACATCAAGCCCCTTTTCCCACTACCAGTCACATCAAGTCCTTTTTCCCCAACTCCCCAAAAACATCAAGCCCCTATTCCCACTACAAAAAACATCAAGTCCTATTCCCACTCCCCAGAACATAAAGCCCTACTACCACAAACCATAATACCAAGTCCTACCTCACTACCAAAACTTTCAAGTCCTACTCCCTACTACCGTAACGCCCAAAATCCTACTCCCCCCCCCCAAAGTAACATAAAATTCCTACTCCTACTACCAGTAACATCAAGCCCCTATTTCCACTACCAGTAACATCAAGTCCAAACCCTACTACCAAAACGTCAAGTCCAAACTCCCACTACACTACCATAACATCAAGTTCAATTCCCATTAAAAGTATCATCAAGTCCATTCCCACAACCATAACATCAAGTCCTACTCCCATTTCCAGTAACATCAAGTCCTATTTTCCCACAAACCAGTAACAAAAAGTCCTACTCCCACACGCTACCAGTAACATAAAGGCCCCCTTTCCCAGTACCAAAACATCAAGCCCTACTCCCACTACCATAACATAAAGTCCTCCCTTCCCACTACCATAACATCAAGCCCCTACCCCCAAATACCAGAAACCCATCAAGTCCCACTCCCACTCCCATAAAAACAAGTCCTACCCCACTCCCCAATAACATAAAGGCCTACTCCCACTACCATAATACCCAAGCCCTTTACTACCACTACCATAACATCAAGTCTTAACCCCCACTACCAGTAACATCAAGTCCTATTTCCCACTACCAAAAAAACAAAAGTCCTACTCCCAAAACCAAACCAAGTACTACAAACCACTACCGGGTAACATAAAGTCCCTACTTTCCCACTCCATTAATTTTTAAACCCTTTACAAACCATTTACCATTAACAAAAAGTCCTACTCCCCAACCAAAACATCAATTCCTACTACCACTACCAGTAACATAAAGTCCTACTCCCCACTACCATAACATAAATTCCTACACCCCACTACCAGAAACAAAAGCCCTACACCACTACCATAACATCAAGTCCTACTACCATTAACCAGTAAAAATCAAGTCCTACTACCACTACCAGTAACATCAAG